TTCTTCTTATTATTATTATTACTACTACTACTACTACTACTACGACTACTACTAGTACTACTACTACTACTACTACTACTACTACTACTACTACTACCTCTACTACTACCTCTACTACTACCTCTACTACTACCAACCTGCTGCTGCTAGTAGGATTACTCAATACCTCAGCTGCTGCTGTTGCTGCTGCAACTGAGAGGGCGTGTCTAGTCCATTGCTACACTCCAGAACAGCTACTCCTACCAGTACCGTCGTTGTTGCATCTCAACATCTATTCCAGAAACTGGGCGGGATTGCTCTCGTGCGAAAAGCCTCGCCGAGCATAGGCGGCGAGCATCGGCATGATAAGGTACCTGGCACAAGTGTTGACAGCCCCTGCCAAGTCTGCATGGGTGCTTGGATGCGTGTCGGAATCAGGAAGCAGCAGAAATCTTGTTTCAGCATCACAGAACCGCATCAGTCACACTTTGTCGACAGCTACCGACTCAAGCCATTCGGATGATCTGCGTGAAGGCATCAAGAAGTGTACACATTTGTGCGAATACGTATGAAGTCAACAGGACACACTTAGAACACACTTCACATCATCCTCCCCAGAGTCAGTCCCTGACCCTACAAAGCGATCGTTCTAAGCAGCAGCTGTAACAGCTTTGCGTGTATCCATCCCCTGAAGATATCATGAAACGGCTCAGGTTCTCCCAAGCAGCTCGATGCGGGCTGGCAAAAGCAGCATCTATCAATGCAGCAGCCGGCCTGCGATGGCAGCAGGGTGCAGGGTTCAAATCAGAATCAAGGTTTTAGTTCCTGCTTGGCCTTGCTAGGGGGTTTTGGGTCTAAGGCTCAAGGTGTAGGGTTGTGGTCAATAATACGTAGGCTTTAGGCTTCCTGGTCGGAACAGTCGATTTCATTCAGCACTCGGGCGATTTTGAGTTAAGGGCTTTATTGCAGGACGGCAGAGAAACCCAAGGGTGTTTGGCGAAGAAAAGAGTTGGGTCAATAGGCGGCTTACTTCGGATCTCACTACAAACAACTAGGAGAGAAAAAAACTGCACACGGGACGGTTCTGACCTGCAACAGCACTGGATCGCAAAAACTCGTGGGCTTTCTTGTTCGCTTTGCTGAACATGTCATCCACATCGTCCGACTCGATGCTGCCCAAGCAAAACTTGTAGAAGGAGTCCTCCCGACTTTAGGGTTTGGGGCTTAAGGCTTCCACGGTTTAGGGCTTAGGGGCTTTGGGTTTAGGGTGAGATTTGGAGTGAGGGCTTGATACAACCTCCAGAGCCCCTGTTGACCCCTGCACCTCAGAGGGCCTACTAAAGCCCGCAAGACTCGAAGTTACCTTTGATTCCAGAGTTGACGGTTTGGGGGTTTAGGTTTTTGGGGCTTTTAGGGTTTAGGGTTTTGGGGTTAGGAGTTTAGGGTTTTGGGGTTTCGGGTTTAGTGTTTTAGGGTTTTGGGGGCTTGGGGTTTAGGGTTTTTGTATCTTCGTCCGAAGTAACAAACGTACCCCCAATCACTGCTTTAGAAGCTCTTTTGGTAAAGGAAGCATCGAGACACTTAGGCTGAAAAAAACATTCCTCCAGCTTGGATGGGGCTTGCACTCGGTCTTGCACTTCGTGCTCGAAGGCTTGCTTCACGGCTCTCCAATAATTGAGAGTCGCTTCCGGATTGGGCTTCCGACGGCCGGCAAATGTTTGCTTCTCGCCACTCGTGTTGTCGTCGGTCTTCGCCTTCTTCGCCGGCGGCGTGGCCAGGTCGTCACCATTGTCATCCCCCTTCTTCTTTGCTTTGCTCTTCGCAGCAACGGCACTGGATTTGGGTCTGCCTCTGGCCTTGGCCGATGCCTTGGGGGCTGCCTCCTCCGTGGACTTGCTCTCTGTGGCTTCTGTGTCTGGCTTCTTGGACTTGCTCTCCGTGGCTTTTGTGCCTGGTTTCTTGGACACTGTGGCTTTTGTGTCTGGCTTGTTGGACTTGCTCTCTGTGGCTGCGGGGGCTGGCTTCTTGGACTTGCTCTCTGTGGCTGCGGGGGCTGGCTTGCTGGTCTTGCTCTCTGTGGCTGCGGGGGCTGGCTTGCTGGTCTTGCTGCGAGTCTTGCCGTTCCCCTGGCCTTTTGCTGCCGGTCGTTTCATGACAAGCTCCTCGTCGTCTGTTGCTCCTTGGTCCTTTCCTGCCAAGCGGTGTCGTTTGTCTTGCTGCTCTTTCCGAGTGACGTGCACCTTTAGGGGTTGAAATCCAAAACAAGGAACCAAAAGAAGTTTAAAAGAAGGAACAGAAATTATTTCACACCTGATAGAGGCCTATAGAGTTTAGACCCGAAGAAGCCAGATGTATCTTAAACTCTAAGTATTGAAACCCTACTTCCCAAAGGAGCAACCGAGACTTCTGAACTGATGCGGCCTGGCAAGCGAGAAGATGCTTCGATGGATCAGGCTTCTCATCACCGAGGGTCTTTGGAGGGGCTGCTTTTGATGGATCAGGCTTCTCATCGCGGCGGGTCTTTTGAGGGGCTGCTTCCGGGGCGTTTTCCGGAATCGGAGATTTCGGGGCGTTTTCCGGAATCGGAGATTGCGGGGAGTAGTGTTGGGTCGCTGAAACTTCAGCCGCTTCGGGTGAAGTAGAGACCTCTATGAGAGGTTGCGTAGGCTCACGAAGCCCTTCGTCAATTTCATCAATCAGAGCTTGGGCCTGAGCCACCACAGACTCTCCTAGGATCGTAGCTTTCGATGCTAGCCTAGGTGATGGAGACTCGCCAAGCCCAGGCTCCGGGGTTGCAGGGACTTCCCAATCGTAAGGCACCACTGCCACTTGAGTGTCCATCTCGTCTGGGTTTGCACCTTGCCCCAGGTCGTGGAGCTACGAACACGGTGGGTGACATCTCAAGCAGGCGAGCGGCTGTTCCAGCTTCCAGCAAGTTCTTTCCCAGCAAGTGCAGCACGTCGCTGTGCCATGAGCTTCCTCGTTCAGTTGTAAGGTTCAGGGTGAGTCTGCGTAGTCGTAGTTGTCGTCGCAGTAATAGTAGGGGGAGGACAAAGAGGCCTTGTTGTTGCTAGAGCTACTTGTACTACTAGCACTACTAGGACTTGTGGGACTACAGTACTAACAGCATGACCTGGGCGTTCAAGTGCTAGTGCTAGCAATCAAGGCAATAGTAATAGCAATAATAATAATAATAATAATTCCTGCTAGAACTACAACAATACTACGATTTCCACTGCTGCTACTACTACTATGTACCGCTACTAACTAAATTTTGATGCAGTACATGTTGGCACAGAAACATCAAGTGTGGAAAAAGCAGGAAGTATTCAAGTATTCCTTAGTAGTAGTCGCCCTAGTGGTACTGGTAGTAGTAGCAGGAACAATCGCAGCAGCGACGATTCAGCAGCAGCGAAGATGCAGCAGTAGCAGCAGCAGTAGCAG